TTATTGTTTTGATGTTAGCGAAGCATGATTATTAAAAAAAAATCAATTTCCTTCATTTTTGATTTTAAAAATATTGGGTAATTATTCGGTTATGTTATAGTTCTTCTTTAAATCAGAGCTACATTTGTTGTGTGTGCTTATTTTTGTTACCAAATTATATTTGCAAGACTTTAAAATATAATTGTGCTTAATTATACAAATTGTCAGAATTTCTATTGACAACTGAGAAAACGCAATAAAATCTTCTATAAATATGATAAAACAGACTTTTTGTTTCTAATCAATGATGATTATGAATACACTCGAATGCAATACAATTAAAAAGAGATCATTTTCTTGTAATAGTTAATTTTTATTTATCCATCTTTATTTAAATGAAGCGCAATCTTTTTGCAATATTGCCAAAAAGATCAAATACTTCAAACAATGTTTTTATTTCGTATTGTATAACAAAAGAAAGAAAATATAAATATTTATAAAGGGCGACAGGAGACGAGACATCTTTCCATAGATACGCCTCTGTCTGACAGCAAAACCAAGCTTCACGTTGACCACTACTTGCAATACCTGCCGTCCGTTCAAGCGCAAATGACCGCAAACAATTTGACAGCTAGCGTAATTGCTACTACCGAATACCACCATAAAAATCTCTTTATTTAATTTTTNAAAAAAAAAAAAAATTTTTTTTTTTTTTTTTTTTTTGTCAAGCCACTACAACGATTTTTTACTGCCTGCGTACACAGTGTGTTCACTTTGTCTGGATCTGAAAACAACATCTTAAATTTCTGTCGTATAAACGCTGATCAGTTAACGACTCGCAGAAGTCTTGTATTCTGCAATACTTGCACCGTAGACACAAGAAAGAGAAAGGCAGCATGAAGTGAACGGTAAGAGATCCGACAAGTAACTGGAACTCATCGGACATCATCAGCAGTTCTCGGCGATCAAGCAAAGGCACGTTTGTCTCTGAAAGAGTCTTAAGTCTCGAATAAAGAATGACCGAGGCAAAAAAAGTGACCGATATTGTTAACTGATATGAAGTTGGGCCCAAATGTAATCTAAACAAATTAAGGAAAATTTATGTTAAAATAAAATGCTGGAAGACGTGTAGATAGCATTGTGTGAACCCCAGTTAATAAATCACAGTTAGCTTTATTTGAGCATGTGACATAGTGCGCAGTTTATTTAGTCAGATTTGATAAATTATTGCCTCTACAAGAAAATTATTTTGCAAATGGTATATGATTAAGAAAATAAAAGATAAGATTTCTATTGAAATTGAAACAAACATAATTTTGTTATTTGGTAGCATTTTTTTTTTCTTTTTTCAATTTTTTAAAATTAATTATTTTTTCTCAAATTGAATAAAAATGAGGAATAAGAATAATTAAAACTAACATTCAAGTGTTTATTAAGTTAGCGTAAAATATAGATACGCTGAGTTTCGAAACGAAATAAATTAAAATGACTAATAAAAATTATTCATGATTAACAATTTGTTAAATATGTTTATTTGGAGTTTTAGTGCAATATTTATTCACTTTATACACATTATTTTTTTCTCCCTTTGTTGAAGAAGGAATAGCACACAAATAATCATAAAATCAGCGGAGAAAGGTTAAAGAAAAAAAAAACCTAAATTTGCAAAATATTTATAGACGAAAATAGAGAGACAGCAAAAAGGAAAAAGAAGAATAAACTTTTAAAGGAGGGAAAAAAACTAGCACAAAACACAGGAAAACAATTACATCGACGAATGCAGAATCAGAAGCAAATAGGGAAAAAAATGGCATCATCACCTTTTGATATTATTACTGTATCATTCATTAGTATATCAATAAAAAAAAACTACCTTTGTAAATTTTTGTGCTTGTCATTATTTCATTAGGCTTATAAGTAACACAGCAACTAGGTGTCACACCCACAACGATTACTTTTAATATTTCCTACACATGCAAGAATTGGGTAAGTAAATTTAGCTTTTTTTCACAGAATATTTATTAAAACATTGCCGTCAAACACAGAAAAAAAGGGTAGCTTGATTCAAATTTGTATTTATGTTTATGTAAGCGGTCTACGTTTAAATATATAAAAATTAAAACCAATGCTCTGCAATATTTTAATTGATTGCTAAATTAGTTTGTGTGAATGTCCCACCCGTAACTTCAGATTGGGCGCTTTAGGAAAAGGCAATGACAAATTGAAATCTTTTGAAAATACAATTTCAAGCACAATGTTTAAGTTGTCAATGAATGTGCGGACTTCGTTATTTGGTAATGATAAGCTCTCGAAACTACTTTTAGAACTAGGAAAATGGCAAATTGCAATGTTTAGGAAACACAATTTTACTTGATAATAAAAACATATGCACGTCTATTCATCAGGGATGTAGCTAAGGAGGTCTGGACCCCCCCCCCCTCCTGAAAAAAAAACTTCGAAAACTATATAATTTATACAGAGTGTATCATAAATACTGCACTGCACGTCCAAATATCTCTTGATATGAGGGTTAAAGAAATGTGATTCCAATTTAAGGAATTTGTAAAATGAAGTTAACTTTCACAGTACTATAACTATTTATTGGTCACATGACGTGTTTTGATAAATTTTTAGAAAAGTAGACTTTTTATACGTTGTTTTAATGAATAAACCTTAAATACGAAAAAATGTTCCTTATATACCCTTGAATGAGTCAGTAATTTTTTTTTAAAATAAAACTTGTTAAATTTAGCCCCCCCCCCTCCCAAAAAAAAAGAATTTAAAAATTATGACTTTCGCGATGAAAAAAACTTTACTCCACAATACTGATGATTTAGCTTAGTATTGGGAAAAATACTGAAATTGCTTAGACTGAAATTTAAATTATAAAAATATGCAACACTTTGCAATCTTATATTCAATATTTGGAGAAAAAAAATAATAATGCGTAAAAGTAAATAATCTTTCATCATTTTGGCAAATTTTTTTTACAATTAACCCCTAATCATTCATAATTTGTGACATTGTATTTAAAAAAAAAAAAAAAAAAAAAACGTATATTTATCACACAAACTTTCCTTTTTCTGAATTAAGAAAATGGTACTATTTCTCAGTTACACCTACTATTTTAAGAATTTAAATAATTTACGACAGATTTCATCTCATATTCGAAAGATAAGTGAATAAATAAAATGTAATATAAAAATATATTAGTATAAAAATAAATTAATATTCAGCTATTTTTTCAATTAATATATTCACTGATTAGAAATTATTTTTAAACACACCATATTTAAAAGAAATTTCAACTTGGAAAACCCTTAATTCCCTGGTTTTATTAATTGTTCCCTACTTATTTTTGATTTTTATTAAAAAATGGCTCTCTCACAAAATGTTTTCAATGTGCTCACTGTTTACTCCAATACACAAGTGAAAGTGAAGTCCTTTTCAAATGTAAGTGGTAGACACCAGAGCTAAAGAGAAGACACGCGTGCTATTTCTTTGGGAGATATGCTGTTGCATGCCTCTGTAATTCAGTTGGAGAGTTCACTCTCATTGTTGTTACATAGATAACGGATTTCAAAAGTTTCCACAAATAGAAATTTAAAGGACAGATCTGAACAACAACAAAACAGGTCCTCTAAGCCCAATCCACCTATGACCAAAAATTTCATTTTTAAATTCCTTTAGCTGTAGGGCTTTAAGGAGTACCCTTTCACTGGAACCATATGATCCAGTATTTATCTAGTGGATGGAATGTCTTCCGTAAATTCTTCCACAGAAGTAAGAATTTTATTTAAGTAGCACTTGTTAATGTGTCTGGGTACAATATTGGGCCCAAAATTGCTTCGGGCTGATTACCATAAATTCCACACCAAAAGTGTAAAGAAAAACTTTGTTGATGGCGAATGTCCCTTACATAAAAAGGGTTTGTATCACTTCAGTCATGTTCATTCATTATGACGAGATATTGGACAGTCTTGAGAAAACTTACATACTTCAGTCCTGATAACTGATTGGAGAAAATTTTTTGGAATCTGCAATTCAGAGTGAATGCGGAAATTTTTTTCTGAAAAAAGACAAAAGTTTTCTTTTTAAATATAATTTTTAATAATTTGTGTACTATAATTTTTGACTCAGAATTGTTCCCAAAATCAAAATTATTTTTATGTCTTGCTTTTTTTCTTCTTTCTAATAATAATATAAGTTTCAGGGTAAATGTTCTTTTTTTTTTTTAACTTTGAGTGTCTTTTTATTATGTTATTTGACGCTGATTTCATTGACCTTTTTTTATATTACTTACAATATGAAGCAGTTTATTATTAGTAATAGAAATGTTTTGTTATCTTTAAATGTTGTATGCTTTTTTCTATTGGTAAAGTTTAAAAACAAAAAAAAGATTATATTTCCTGTAAAAGAGTTTCCACACTTTTGTGAAGTTTTTCATTACAAAAAATAGAATTAAAGTGCGAAGTTACTTTTGTCTTATTAGAATTTTCTTAGAATATTTCAACTACTGGTATTTTTCATCCCACTTTGTTTGAATAAAGTCAAGCATCACTGGCTGCGGTCTGTAAGTGGGTGGGTGACTACTTTGATTAGTCTACGTAGAGACTGAGGGTGAGCGGTATCAGTCTTCGTTAAACTTTTCGAACGTAAAGTGCTCGATTTCGCTCACAGGTCGATGAGCTACCAAAGCGGAGGAGCCATCCCCTCTGCAGAGGATCAAAATTGCGATGGGATGTCTTCGGATCATCCTCAGGGATGTTTCACAGACCAACGCTAATAGCCCATTGTGCGTACGAAGACGTGATTGGCGAGTTTTCAGCTGGTAAATATTCTTCACCAATCTGATAAGTGAAATATATTTTCCTGTTGAAATCGCACCAATCAGGTTCTCTTTTTTTCTGAACGTTGTTCAGGGATGTGGTAACCGCGTTCGGTGGGAATGCTCCTTATGTGAGCAATAAATTGAAAAACTCCATTGTTTTTAAATAACATATGCAAGCTACGAGCGCTTAATCAGTAGTTTTAAATCCAGAAACAGTGTCTCACCTGGCAATAGACATTAATTGTAAACAAACGTGCTTTTGCAATATTTGAAACTTTGTATGTAATAACTAAATAATTAACCGTTAACGAAATTTACAATACTGAATAATCGATTCTTCACAGATCAGTATGTCAGTCTACCACGATGAAGTTGAGATCGAGGATTTTGAATATGATGAAGAGACAGAGACCTATTATTATCCTTGCCCATGTGGGGATAAATTTGAAATAACTAAAGTGCGTATTAAATTTTTTTCTTCTCCTAGCGGGGAAATTGTTTTAGTGTTCTAATCTAACTTTTTTACTTTTTTATGCTATTTTTCTTCCTTTTTTATGTAAACTTACCGGTAAAATCTCACTCAGTAGAAAGAAGGAAAAAAATTTTTTTTTCTTTTAATTTCTACTAAGGCTGTATTATTTATGTTTAAATTTTTTACATACCTTTTTATATTATGGCAAGTTAATTTGTCAGCCACTGATTTTTTACTGTACGAGTTAACTTTTTCTCACACAGGATATCCTCTTTTTCATTTTGTGCCCACTCTTTAAATTCAAATTTTGTAACTTGAAATTAGACGATTCTATTAATAAACATTTAACTCAAAAGTGAATAAAAATATGTAGGATATGTTGTAGAACAAAGAAGAGGGAGAAAAAAAACATTACACCCTAGCCTTTTAGCATCTCATTTCAACCAAATAAACTTTAGATTCTTCGAAGAAAAATTAACAGTCCCACGAACTTTCGATTATTATTACATAGGGAATTTTCATAGTATTTTTTCCTGTTTGTCATATTATTTCCAGTTATCCATATGATTTTTCTTGATTATGCTTTTATTATTAAAAAGAAAAGCAGCAATTGTTTTTGAAAAGTGAGATTTTCTGTATTAATAATGTTTTATATTTTTTTACATTTCTTTTTACTTGATTTGGATATAGATATGTGGTCAAAATAAAATTCATGCTGGCTACACCTATTCTAATGTGTGTCTTGCCAAAAATTAATAGCTTTAACTAGCTATTTTCACATGAATTACACATGTATTAATTTTTTAAAATTATTTTTATGGAAATGTTGCGTTTTCCAACTTTCAGACATGAACAATTGAAATAGAATCTTACCAATGATCAAACTGTGTTGTTTTCATTGATACGAAATAAATTTTATTCCTAAAACTTTATATTTTATATTACCATTTCCAATTTCTGCTATAATATATTAAAAAAAATGAGATTTCTCAGGTAAGTATTACTATGGCGTGAAAAATATCACATGTTTTCCTCACATCTCACATAAGAGGATTACTACTGCTAAGAATCACAAATTCAATTTCGGAATATACAAAAACTTCACTTTTTTAATTTTCATTTTACTCTTATTACATGTTAAAAAAATATGCACAGGTGAGAATCCTCTGCTTTTTTATGATTTTTACCCGACTTCCGATTTTTGTTCAATTTTAATCCAATTTCCACTATAATATGAAAAAAAACCTGGATTTTATAGAAATGAAATCAGATGTATATTGCATAAAATATGTATTTTTCACGTATCGCATAAAAAAATTATTACCTCTAAAAATCTTGCACTAATTTTAGAGTCTTCAAAAATTTTACATTTTGGAAAAATTGCTCATCGTTATTCAAAAGCACGCTTCAGAATTTGTGGATCGCAATAATGAAAACATTTTAAGAACTATGTGGCTATTGAAATCTTCACAAATCTAGTGCATCAAGAAGAAATTCTTCAAAAGCGCGATTCAAAATTTCTCATGTAAATCTAGCATTACAAAATGATAAAATTTGTAACAGTAACTGACAAAAATGTAATTGTAAATGTATGTGGGATTGGGAGTGAATCTTCAATAATTAAGTGTGAAATGCGTTATTTGAAGTTTGCCAGACGAAATAATGTATTAAAACATGAGATATCTGTTTTAATAACAAAACAAAAAAAAGAAACTATCAATAAAACCATTAGGATTCATTGTGTAATCGTTGCTAATGAAGTAGATCAAGAAATAATTACCTACTAAAACACCTGATTTTGAATTAGCAGTATATAGTAATGGCATATTAAAGTATTAAGATTTTTAAAAAAAAACGTGGAAATCTGTAACAAAAACTGTGGAAATAGCTCAACCACGTAAACCATGTGGATGCGTACATGGTTATTTGAACTCGACATTTCGGCTATTTGTTATTTTTTATTAACTAACAACAGGGTTGGGTTTTTGACGTCAAAAAGTGGTTTTTGACATGACAAGGGTATAATACTGGTTTAAACCGTCAAAAACCCGTCAAAAATGCCAAAAACTAAAGTTTGCCAAGAAAATATATAAACTTCAAAACTACCAACAGTTGCCATGCATTATATTGAAATTTAATTATACTATAGGTAATCAGCAGGTTTTAAAATATTTTTTAATTAAAATTAAGGTAAAATAACAGATTTAAAATCTCAGAAATTTATATTCAAATGCATGTGCAGAAAAATTTTGCACAAAATTTTTTTAAATATTTATATTTTAAAAAAAAAAATTTTTTTTTTGATACTTAAGAAAATTAAAAGTTTATTACTATGCATTTTTGACATATAAGGAACATATAACTAATATTTATAAGGAACTTACAAGTTATGTTGTATAAATACAAACTTGATACAAGTGTATAAAAAATTTTTTTTAATGTTATACCGAATATCTTTATTATCCAGTATGTTAATTTGAATTTAAAAGTAGTTATATTTGTGAATAATGATAAATATAATTCATATTGTTTATTATATTTATTTATAATTATTACACTTATCATTTTAAAACAATTTTTATCTCTTAATTTTTTTTTCTCCACTTGTATTAAGAATACAAATAATGCATATCTTGAAAGCAAGAAGTAATTATTCAACAGCTGAATATTTAGATATTCAACAAAACTATATAGTATTCAGCAAAATGAAATTCACAAGTATTTGGATAAACTAAATTTTCAGCATAGTAAATGAATAGGCTGAATATACTGTAAATCGACACTAACTACTCTGTGTATTTAACAGAAAGCACTTAAATTTGTATTGTCTTATGTTAAAAAGATTATTAAGAAGATTTAAAAGAATATTAAAAAGATTTTTCTTTAAAAGATGTCTAATGTACAAAACTGCTAATGTTTATCTTTAAAAATGTCTAATTTTTAGTATAATCTATACTATACACTAAATTTGGTTATAAATAAATTTCTTAATAATATCACTGCAGATTTTCAATAACACATGAAAATGAATACATAATATTACAAAAGATGTGAGTTTTCAAAAGTACAAGATTTTGGTTACTATTCAAAATATAAGTGTTTCTTCAAAATTTTAAATTTATTTTTTCTAGAACATATTTAGAAACACTATCCTTTAAAAAATATATAAATTTTATGTATTAATTAAGTTTCACATATGAATATAGGTTTTTGACATTTTTGACAGTGAGGTTTTTGACGTGACGGTTTAAACCATGGTTTAAACTGTCAAAAACTGTCACATGTCAAAAACCTGCCAACCCTGACTAACAATATTTTGATGTTTACATTAAAGACCAAATATCCAAAAAAAGCTACTGTCCAGATTTGCCAAAGTCCCACTAATTCCGTTTGTGGGACTTTCCACTGTACTTAAGATTTTCCTATTGAGCATATTAACTTAGAAGAACTATGAATGATTCAACCAATAATTATTAAATCTTTTTTCTTCCTTCGCAGAAATCTATTAGAAAAAGTTTTTCTTTAAGAAAAAAAAAAAAATCTGGGAATAAAGAAAGTAATATCCTGTATGGAATAAATGGAGGACTCCATTTATTTCAGAATTAGTGACTGCAAAATTATGATAGGCTAGAGTTCGATCTGGGGAATAGCAAAATATGTTGCACAGTATGCTTTATTATTTAATATTGACTCTATTTTCTAAATTTATTTGGATAATAGCTTCAATTTTGAGCATTTATTTATTTTTATATTAGACCAACAAAGTATTTTATTAAATCTGTTTGCTATAATTAATCAAGTTTTCTTCAAAATAAACAAAGAAATGTGGTGTTACTATAAAGCATGAAAATGATTTTAAGTGATGTACAAGTATATTTATTGTTAAATTTCAAATGGTTCTGTGATATTTATTTTGAACCAGTGAATAATGATGCTTAATGGTCCTAAGGACCGGTAACTTTTTTTTAATTATAATTTTTAATGCTGTGCTAATTAGATATCATATTATGGGTTCATTTATACTCATTTAAATTGTAAAATGATAGCATGTTCCTAAAGACAGGATCATTTTAATTTTTTGTAGGAAGATTTAGCAAACGGTGAAGATGTTGCAACTTGTCCAAGTTGCTCTTTAGTTGTTAAAGTTATTTACAATTTGGTATGTATTTTATTTTTATTTTCTGTGTATATATTTCCAAATAAAGTAAATTGTTTAAAAAAGGATTTTTTTTAAAATCATAAATTTAAAAAAACACACCTTTTTTCAGTAAAATTTTTTTATTTATCTTACTAGTTGTAATTTTTTTAATAAGAGTTTGTTAAGTAGTCTAACGTAGCAAGACCGCTACTTTTTTTCATAGTTTGTAGTGTAATGTGCTACTTTTCCAAATGAAGTGTAATGAGTAATGCGATACAAGAAACCCCAGTAGTTTGTAGCCCTTCCTGGTAACTTTTAACCCTTTTAACGTTAGTTTAGTAAAGGAACAAAGTTCAAATGGAACTATTTTTGGAACTTTGATTGGTACAAATCTTTACAGGTCCTTTAATGGGTGTAATGAGAATGTCCCCGTAGCATTAATTAGAATTGCACATTACTAATATTTAAACTATCCATTATGAATAATAGCTAATTTTTCATTTTGGGCACACCTTCAAAGGCATTCATGAAACATTGATGTTATTTTAATGGAAGGGAACGTGTTTTCTCTGTAATTTTTGATGTACTTTATTTCTTAGAGAACTAAAAGATTATTAAAGGCTTAACAATATCGTGAATGTTTGATAGTTTCTTAGAATTTCTTAAATTAAATAGGACAATAATAACTAGTTCACGTAAATATGAATAAATATTTCTTTATAATTCCTTTTGTTACCAAACCATTTTGAACATTGGTGTTTAAAAATTTAGTTTTCTAGCAAAGTTTGTTCCCCAAAAGTGGTGACTGCATATTGAAAGTAGTTTCTAGTCACGACATTTAAAAAAAGTAATTTTTGACTACCTTTGTATTAAAGGAGTTGTAGTTAACTTCTGACCTCTAAGTTTGTTGTATGCTTGAAATATTACTGTCACTGTCTAATTTTTTTTCTTTCTTCTTTTTACAGGAAGATTTTCAGGAAAATGATGAAGTTAAAACTACAAAATCTGAAAAGAAACAATTAGAAGTGGCTAGATAACCACTTTTCCAAAAGTTCATTATAAATTTTGTGAACAAGCAAAGCTTTTTTATTTTATTATTTGTATATACATAATGCTACTTTGCTTTTTATTTGATTCTTTATTAAATAAGATTCTGTAATTACGTAATTGTTGACATATTTTTACATCTCATGTTTTTTTAACCTCTTCTGAATGTTTATCACCTTAGTTGATTTTAATGATCAAGTAACATTATGGCTGTTGAATTTAAATTTTCTCTTTATATTGACCATTTATTTGACCTTTTATTTAACCATTTGTCTAAGTGAGCTCTCAAAAAGTTTAACCACAAGTGGTCAACTTACACAGGTGTATTTAATGTAAAATTTTAATTATGCTTATAATTTTTAATTATATTAATGTAAATTTGGAGTTTAAATTGAAACTGTAAATATGGATGTTGGCCTATTCATTTTTTTCCTGTTAATTTTGTCAAACTCTAACAAATCAACTTATTTCTAGTGTTGTGTGCCCTTTATTTTCAATGGAACTTTTTGAAGAAAAAAAGAATGGAAAACTTTTCAGATTATTTCAATACTTTATTTACTTCAAGTGTTTTACAGTCCTTTAAAAAGAAATTAAACATCTGCAATGTTGCAATAGTGCTGCAGTATTTTTAATTGTCTTAAAATGTTTTGCAATCATACTGACAATTTTTTCATCACTTTCTTCCGAAATAAGAAAGAAGAGATTACCTGCAAACTAGGAAAATAGAAAGCATAATTATTACATTACAGAAATTAAAAATAAAAAAAAGTCTTAAGTAAAATTAAACTAATGCTTACCTTTTTTATTTTTTCATTCTTATATTCTGATTTATTTCCTCCTAATTTCAAGTTTTCTGCTTTTTTTGGAGTAACTACTGCTTGTTCATAATCATCATTCTGTGAATGAAGCGAAAAAAATTAAAGGCAGTGCATGAGGTGAAAATAAATTATTTGGTACTAACGGGCAGTTTATAAATATTCAAGATGGAGGCAAGATATTTTATATTGATAAGATGAGGAAAAGTTCAGTTTTTGATTTTATTTATGCAAGTTTTACACTATCAGTTTTTTAAAGTTTTAAATATTTTCATAGGTTTAGATAACATGACTTGAAATAAAAGTACTTTTGAATCACTTGATTTAAATCCATAAAATTCAAGTTCATCATTTGTGCAAATTGATTAAACTGTAAAATTAATTCTTTTTAAAAGAAAACTATGAATTACATAGCCCTTTTAGCAAATATTTAATAGTTTTTTTTTTCTTCACTATTGAACATTCTTTTAAAAATCAGTTTTGTTGTTTTAATTGCTTTGATTTTATGTTTGATATCAAAATTTTAGATATTGAATTTGTAAATAGTTAATTTTTATTCAATATTTTAAATTTCTTTCTTTTTTTATTTGTTATTTTTGCTAATAGATCAGAAGTAATTGGGTTTGCACTGTTTAAAATATTTTCTTTAGTAAATAGTTTTTAATAACAATCTTGAATAGTAGGATCTTATTAAAATCAAATTGCAGAATAATAGCATATTTTTTGAAGGAAAATAGAACATATTTTAAAAAAAATTATCAATAAAATCAACATTTTTACCAGTACCGATTTACCAGACAATGAGATTTCTTAATTTTCACTGATTTGCAATTTGTTTCCCGGTAAAAGAAAAATAATGTAAATTTACCTTTGGTAAATTAGATAATCGATATTTTAAAATGAATTCTTCTTCGGATACTGTTTGATTCTGTTCGATGGAACCAAAGTCACAAATATTTGACAGCAAAGCAATGCAGTCATAAATGTTGGATTCCAGTTCTCGATTCTGTAAACAAGTGTTTTAATTATTTCATTTGTTGTGTTAAAGTATAGTTTATTTTATTTTTTTATCTTTTTGAATAATGCTATTCAAATATGATTACAGAGTCACAAATATATATATATTGTTTCAATAGTAGTTAAATGCATACCTGCCAAGTCTCCTGTTTTTTGAAGAAGACTTCTGTATTTAACGACAATCTCCTGTTTACCCGTATAGTCTCAAATTTCCATATTTGTTGCATACATTTTTTTAAGCAAGAAATTTTGGCAATAAAATGTCTGCTGATGGCAAAAATACTTCTCTTATTCCTTTACAGAAGGTGCTATTAAAATGTAATTTTGCTTAACAAAAACAACAATGTCGTTGGAATTTTCAAATGCAAATGAGACAACAGAGTTATGCAGCCAAAAATGCATTGAATGTCAGTAATCCATTCTTCAATTTAACAGTTAAATTGTTTATCGATAAAAAAATATCACAACAATGGACAATTAAAGTTAGTTAATTGTAGTTCAGGACATTTTTTAAGAATTGTCAAAAAAAAAAAAAAGATCTCTCACTGAAAGATTAAAATTAGTAGACTACATAGGCATGCATTGTGCCAGAAAGCTTTCCTTTTAGTATGCTATATATTCATGTCACAAATATTTAAATCGTTTCTCTAGCAGTTGAAAAATGCAATTTTGCTTAACTAATACAACAATATCGTTTGAATATGGTTTAGAAATTTTCAAACGCAATTGAGAAAACTAAGTAATGTACCCAAAAATATATTAAATGTCAGTCATCCATTCTGCATTTAAATGATTAAACTGTTTAGCAATAAAAAAATATTACAATATTGGCAGGTTAAAGTTACTTAAAGGTATGCATTACTCCAGAATGCTTTCCTTTTAGTATGCTATTTATTCATGTATCATCAGAAAGTTAAACGTTGGGACAAACAAACTGTTGAGAGTGTCAGATCAAAAATAAAGTGATCAATCAAATTATCGATTACTTGAATATGTGTGTTGTTGCAATATATTATCCAAACTACATCTGGATTTACACATTTATAATTTTTATGAAGCTATAAAAGCATTTTACCTTAAGAAAAGATTGAGAGTAGGAATTCACATCATCTACATGAATATTAATCCCTATCTCCTGAAGCTCCTAAAGAAATAAAGATAATTTTAATTTAACTTCCACAATGATTTAGAAAATTTTTATAAGATTTTTTTTATTTAACTTGTTAAATGTTCTTATGGATTCATTGTGATCACGAATATTAGAACTAAAAAAAAAAAAAAAAAAAAAATGCNAAAAAAAAAAAAAAAAAAAAAAAAAAAAATACAATGCATAAAAGACAATGTTGTGAGAATACTAAATTTTAGCTCAAAAGAAGATCAATAAAAAGTTGATGCAATTTTTTACTTTATTAGTATAATTTTAAACTTAGTAAGATGCTTAAGAAATTGTTTTGAAATCAACTTTTAATCTGATTGCTCAAATCATGTACCTGAATGAATTTTTCCACGCACAGCCATTCATTGAATAGTTTGGACGGAATATAATCGTTGTTCGGATTCAGAGATAAAAGTTGGCAACCCTGTGATGAAATTCGGATTTTTATTGAATAATATTGGCCTTTTAAAGACAATTCTGGAATATCACCTGCACTGAAATACCAAGTCTGTGGAGGAAAAAAAAAAGTTGTATGTACAATACAATATTTTTAGAGTAGTATTGTAGTTAAACAAAAAACTTTCGCTAAGTCCTCTTAACGTGACGATTACATGCATGAGATCGGTATCATTACGTCAAATGACGGAAATCCAACCATTTCATTGTTTTGGTTTGGCAGATTTTTGCCATTTTTAATGTTTGAAACTGGTCTGATATCACGATTCATATTCATGCAATTTTAATATCAATCATATATTCGTATTTACCTGATTTAAAAGTTACACTTTTGCTATCCGTATTCACTCGATTTAAAAATTTTACATCGCGATTTGTATGTTAGCATTTTTAAAATTAATATTGCGATCCTTATTCGCGTGTTTAGAATCCGAAATCTCGATTCGTATTCATTTATTTTTCAAATCCTGTATTGCGTTTCATATTCACGCTCTTGTGGTTTCAAGAATCGATTTTTTCATATTTATACATGATTTAAAATTTACACATTGTGATTTGTGAGAAATGAAAAACATCTCTGTTCAAGCGATGCATGAATCACGATTCCGTATTCCTGCTCATGTATTCACGAGATTTAAAAATCCAGTATCGCGATTCTTAAATTATTTACTGTAAAGGTGTGATGATATCCTTCATTGGCAGAAAGTATATTGAACATGTATGGCAAATAACTTGATATCGAATTTTTTGCACATAGAATTTTCAGTCCTTTTTGCTTTATGTCGCAATTATTCTTGATTTACGTAGTTCGTAGTACTGCGTACATAGTTCATGATGAAAAGGTGCTCAAACTTTCGAAGGTTCACTGACTGAACTATAGGGACCATATTTCCTAGGTTGATCCTCTTCATAGATTTTGAAGTGTCAGAAATTCGAAATTCTCCAAAAAAGATAATACTTGTTTTCCGGAAGTAGGGTTTTGTGTTTGATTTCGTAACTTTTAACATCGTCTGTAACCATTAAGGTGTCTAATTGATGAATCCTTGAACAATACCGATTGCATTTTAGATAATAAAAGTGTAGTTCATTTAATCAAAAATTTTGGAAAGTAACTTTATTATCAATTAGTATTTAATTTACTGTATAACAAATCTAAACATTGTACTTGCTACGTGTAAGTTAGATTCATAGCTGCCAATAATGCTTAAAAATGAGATATACTTGCCTTGTAAGAAAGATTTAAGTGCCTTCTTTGAAAAAATCCAAATGTACCAAACTGGCTCGTTTTAAAAGAGACTTCTTTATTTTCTGAAAATAATACAGATAAACAAATAACTACGTGAACAATCATTAGAACTTATTAAAAAAATGGAAAATAAATCTTAACAGCTTAGTAAATTTTACTTGATAGAGGACAATTTGTGGAAAAAATTCTTTAAATATCGACTTATTTCGATTGTGAGAAAGAATTTTCAACAATATTCTTAAATTATTTTTGAGCTAAATAACACTTGATTATGAACAATTTTTAGGCAAAATTGCTTCATGAATGAAAACAATTGTTCTTTCATGAGCTCTTTTTTTTATTTTTTTTATTGCTCTCTCTTGAAATTATATTATTTGAATTATTCAATTCTCCGTTAGATCACTGTTAGGATCCCAATTGGCAATATCTTAAGCTTGTCCGTTTTAAATCACTCATTTATACCATTATCATGGTTTTTAATTCATAAATATTGTGTGTTGGTTCAGAAGTTAATATACTCGTCTTTGACAGGTGGCCTAGGTATACATTCAAGCAAGGGCTGCTTGATTTATATACTACTTAGATTGACCACAAAGTTGACCAATTATCTCCAGTGATTACCCCATTGTCGTCCAACTAATCATCTCCAAATGCGGATTAACATCATGAAGTTTATGACAAAGGCGAGTTTGATCCGATTCGATTGCATTTGATTAAAGAGTTCCACTGTATTCTGTTTTTGAATGTAAAATGACAAAAAATACTGAAGGGAATTTACTACTATTTGGATACGTTTTCACCGATAAAATTTTGCGAATAACGTATCAATGTTCAGGTTCTGTGTTTCCAAATTGCTCACTGACATTTGAATTGAATCACTTGGGTTTCAGATGGATCGAATGAAGAAAGAATGATCGAATAATTTGATTCGTTAATTTGACAGATTTATGATCACCAGCTACCGTGAGAATTACTATATTAAAAAAAAAAAAAAAAATCAACAAAGGCCTAGTACTCCTGAAAAAGACTTGTTAACAATTCAAACCTTTTTATATTTCTGTTCTTAGAACACGAGACCGTTAAAGATATCTTAACGGAAATTCTTTTAAGTACAATTTGTTAACAAATAATTCAGGATTTCGAAACAAAATGTTCTCAGTCTTACCAGGATTATATTCTACATCATATATTCCTTCTGAAGCAAATCTGTTGTTTTCAGGACAAAGACGAGATGGCTTTGGAGTTTCCCAAAATATCGCTTTATTTGGCAATCTGAATTTAAAGTGTTAATATGTTATTTTCGAAAACTCTTAACTTGGAAGAAAAAATAAAGAAATAGAAGAGAAAAAATGTTTACAAAATTTGTAATGGTAATATTGTCAAAGAAAAATCAACCCTTTTAAAAGTGGGTTTTACTATTGATAAAAACCTTTTTAAAAACAAAAAAGAATTAATGAGTGAAATCAAAAGCAATTTAGCTGGAGAATTGTGTTTACAAACAAAATATTATTCAGTTCATGTAAGCTTTTCAAAATACATTCTTTAAGAGAATTCAAAAGTAATTAAATTATATATGAATTAATATATGTATAAAATAGAAATGTCTCTGATCTAATTTTCGAAATATTTTTCATTTGAAGGCTACATCTTATCTTTGGGCTAGAGCTCTTTCAATGTTTCAGATCAGTTGGTAGTTTGTTAATGCTTATGTAGGTATACACAAATATTAAAATATGTATTAAAGTTATATTAATTGAGTAAAACTTAAAAAAAGAAACGAAAAAAAAAACATGAAAATATTCTTGCACGAGTGTGAATTATGTATGATAAGTCCGAATAAAGATATGAAATTAAATTAGCATTAACGTTTTTAATTGAATCGCGACGGCTCAGTGGTTGAGGCTCTGAACTGTTATTGTGGAAAACGGGTTCGATCCCCAGGACGGCTCGAAGCCATAAAAAAGCTATAGATTGACGAGTACCAGCTTATCAGGAAAGTAATTCCGGCCAGTTAACATGTTGATCATCTGGCCACTGTCTTGGTTAGGTGATCATGATACTTCACAGCCAAGGTTAAAGTCAATACACGACTTCTATAAGAGAATAAAAAATAAGAATGATTTGTAGAAGGGTTAATACCTAAGAGTGCCTCATTTCTAAATCCTATACATATTTCGAATTATCATTGTTAATATTATCGTTTTTTGTTTTATAATAAATGGTTTAGTGTTAAGAGTGGTTAATTCCACACAATTACGATACCCCCAAATTATGTGTTCATAACAGGCATACAACAACCATAATCGTACCTTTAGTCGAAATTGTGGAGCCTTAACCTCAGTAACCTCCTTGATAGTGACTGTTGCAAGATAACTTTGATTTTTTTTAATTAGGAGCAGAACTTAATTTGAAAAAGTTATAGTAGATTAAAATTTTTAAAAAAATACTTCATTTTTAGATAAATAAAATCTCCTAAATTTTCTTCAATTTCTTTCTCTGCTTCTGAATCCTGCATCGCTTCTCCAGAATTAGATTGCACTTTTTCCACACCTTCTAATGCATCAGTTTCTTCTGTAGAGCTGGATGGTACTTTCACCTCATCTTTTTCCAATTGCTCAAGTTCTTCTTGGGAAGTAAATGGAACTTTTTCCTCATCTTCTTCAAATTTTTTGATTTCTTCTCCTTCTTCAAGAATTGGCTCTTGAATTCCTTGAATTGTGCTTTTTTTGTCAAGTGAGAGAAACGGTCTAAGCTGCACGGCTTGTTTGTAAGGAATTCTTTTTAAAACAGGTTGTTCTCCTGCAATTTAAACATAACCGTTGCTATTTCTTTCTTAAAGGTTTTAAAATTTTTTGTAAACATTCCACGTAATATACAGTAAAAACCCGATGTAACGATTAGATGCAAAGTGGGAAGTTCGCTGTTTCTACAAAGTTCTAATTCACAATCAAAATGATAGTATTAAAGATGTAAAAAATTATTAGCCTACTGCCTCTAAGACAATATTTTTTAGTGAAATGCATTATTATTATTATTATTCTTTTTTTTTCCTTTTTAACAATATTGTATTATACGAAAATGTTTCATTGGAATATATTTTCACTTATTTCCGGTAACAAGAAATCGAAAAAAGAAACATCGTTACCTTCTTACAATTTTAAACATTTATTTTTATAAAGCAATGCGTGAATGATTACGGACTAAGTTATTTTCTTCTCAAAAAGAAAAGTTCTGTACTTAGAAAAATCATTTCGCAAACTTCAAAAGATTGTGTCTTTTATAGAACTCATCTAGACATCTTTTTATAGAACACACCTTTTATAGAACATTTGCCGTTTGTAGTATGTCTACCACTACAAAAATACAATTCCAATTCACTAGTATATAAGACATGTTAACTCGATTCTCTGTTGGGGTACCTTAACATAGATAAAGGTTGACATGGTCGATGTGACTATCCCCACATTGGTGACCCGGGCATGATATGAACATGCTTACCTTGACAGACTCTCTCATTGACTGGAACACGCCTATCTTGACCGTAACGCCCACTTCAATCTGAGCACGCCTACTTCGATGGATAGTCCACATTGAGCAGCTGACTTGCTACACGTGACTGCGACATTATCCACCTCCTCGCGCTGTTGCTACTCAGTCTTGATCACACACAATATCGGCCTGTATACACTCGACTAATGGCAACACAGGAGCTACAACGACTGTGAACTTAATACCGCCCTCAGAATTCAAAATTACGGTGATCTTAATGCAGCTCTCCCGGTTTCTCACAAAATAGCTATAAATCAGCTAGTGGTATCCGTTCATCGAATTCTATCTCAGATAAAATTCTGGTGGGGGAGTACTGTAGTGTGTCTACCACTACAAAAATACAATTCCAATTCAGTAATATATGAGTGTGACTCTCTTTACACTGTTCAACAACCCTTGTTGCAAATCAGCAGTCGCACTACATTTCAATTTCTTCTTTCAGAAACTTGTTACGAAATGGAAATTCGTTCAAACATTCCTGTCGTAGACAATTTTTTTTTTATAAAGTAAAGGACTACGTAATTCAGTAGACAAATTGTATTCAAAAACAGTCCTTTTGTTGATATCCTTTACAATCACAATAGTTATTCAAAATAAACGAAAAAAAATAGTTAAATATGTCTATTTTATTTTTTAATATTTTTATTGATATTTCAACATTGAATGCGTGCATCTGCTTAGAGCGACAATCTTGCTATAAAGACAATTTCATCTGTATAAAGACAAATTTATCTGTTTAATTTTCTGATTCTTACTTTAAAAATAAATCTACTTTATTTAAGTTTCAATTAAACACCGATAAACATTAAATATCCACTGTTTCAGTTGATTCATGAACTGGGGGAATTCTTAAGAGACATAAAGTTAAGTAATTATGTTAAACTCAAAAATATGCTAAATTTTACTGCTGTATTCTAAATTCTTTCGTTTTAAATATTTCAAAAACTAGTTGCCCTTATGAAAGTCTTCTTTCCCTCGCCATTACATAATTGCTTCTTTAAATTAATACCGGTATCATGATTCCGAGTTACAACGATGTCATCTTTCTTTACTTTTATCTTGTGCCTCTTTTTCACGTCAGACGTTGTTTATTACACCTTTTAATTGAACATGAAAACGTTTTGAGTGCATAAAAACGTTTGTGTTTGGAGCAGTCTAGTCGCTTTCGGTTTTTGCACCGTTAAACATTGAATCAACCAATTATAAATAGATAATTCTTAACAATTACATTATCTTTAATTAATGAAATCTCTCAATAAATAGCATCATATTTATTCAACGAAACTGAGCAATAAACATTTTCTTTAATTTCTGCCAGATCATCTTGAAAATTTAACTGATTAGTCTCAAATAAAAACAGATGCAATATTAATAACAAAACATTGCAATAAAATAATTTTTTTACGTTTGCCCCTTCCTTTTTAAATACTTTTTCCAAAAATGTGAAAAAATATTATTAGCCATAAAATTGTTAATTTGTGATACGAAGTCACAAACCAGTAAAGTTTGAAATAAGAAGACATAAACTTTCATTATAAAACATTCACAAGTAAAATTTGCAATAGGAAGGCGAGCTTCGATAATAAAATACATTAGTAAATGTGAAATTCGTAATACGAAGACATAAACTTTCATAATGATGCGTGAACTGAAAAAGAAAGTCCTTAATTTGAAGATATAAATTTCATGATCAAACATAAAAATGCAAAATTCGTAATAAGAAGCTATAAACTCTCTTAATGATAAATGTAATAAAAAAAAGTCCTTATTGGAAGATATGAACTTGCATAATCAAACATAAAGTAAATATTGTAATAAGAAGATATAAACTTTCATAATAAAATAAAATCAAGCAAAATTTGTGGAAAAAAGAAGTATAGTTTTAAACTTACTATAAATGTAAGTGATGCCTTTTTGGCGTACGGTAAGCTTTGGAATGGCCAACAGATCAAAATGAAGAATTCCTCCTGATAAAAAATATTCTTTTTGATCGATGAACTGAGACCCATCTGCTGAATAAAATTGTTAAAATAATTCAACTAAAATTGTAAATAAAAATGTATAATATATAATATTTATTGAAAAATCGAATAGATTATATCAACATGTTTGATTTCAGATTGAGTTATGTAAAAAATACTCTAACATTTTTTAATCACCAACTTTTCTTGTAATTTTAAAAGGGGATAGATTTGTGAGATTTTGTTATTAAACCAAATAACGATATTTTGTGTTATACTTTTTTTTATATTGTATTATATTTTTTAAAATTATTATTTAAAAACTATAAAAGATATTTATGTTAGTGTGAAGTTATTTCCATAAATTTTCAAATTGCTTACACTCTAAATTTAAAATTTTCAAAATCAGTTAAAAAACAACTAATTAACCTTCAATCACTAATTTTATAAATTTCCCCCTCTTTGTTATGAAAGATATTCTCTAGTCCATATTCAATGTTTTTTTTTTTTTAAATTAAGAAATTGAACTACTTTTTTTACATTTAAAACTCTAATTTATAGCAGAATTTCATCACATACTTTATTTATTAATTATGTATTTTTTCCATTTATTAGTTGTATTCATTTGTTGATTTCTTATGAGAAAACTATACTGTTAAATATTACAAATTGAAAAATACATTTGGTGGAAAATACCATCAGTGAAATGGTGCTTCAACTGAATGCGCTAGTGAGACAATCATATAAACATAGGCAATACTGAAACAAGGCTTTTAACCAAAATTTAAAAGCATAACCCCCAAAACAAAATGAGAGCATTATGTTCGGAACAATTACCAGCATGAATTACTTTCAAGCAATTTAAGGCAAGAACTGAATGTTAAAAAAAAAAAGTGAAAATAGCATATTTTTTCCTGACGGCAAATGTTTGGGTGTATATATATATATAT